TCGCCCCTAAAGGCAGCAGGAGCCTGGTAAGGTTCCCACCTGTGAGGAACGAGGCGCGCTGGACATCACCGACATAGTGCAGGCCGTGCCTAAACACAGCGCCTGCTGAGGCCCCGCCCCTAAAGGCAGCAGGCTTACCATTTGCCACCGCGATGTCTGGCTGACGAGTGCTGTCATTGTGATTCCGACGCTCGCTGAGGTTCGGACTAGAGAAGGATGATCCTCGGTGGGTACGAACTGAGAGGCGGTATCAAAAGGTACTTCTCACTCAATTAAATAGAGCTCTCTTTTGTAAGCGAAGAATTTTGTGATCCTTCGCCGGTGTATTGTACAATCAGCGCCCTGGGAGTTTCTCCTCAGGGAAAAAGTGACGCACGCTCCCATTCGCCGCCGTGTCCTTGCTAGTCCCAGGAGTTACTCCACAGGATGGAGGGGAGAAACTCCACCTTGCTTCCAATACCAATATGGAGCTAGCCGGTGTTCTGAATTCGCTCACCATCCCGGTCATAGAGATCTCCAGTGCGCAGGGACTGGAAGCTTGTGATGCACACCGGCGGCACCTCGTCAGGCGTCAGGTACACGCCGTTGCGACTGATGAGAAATCGGACGCCTTGCTCAGAGGCTCTGCGGGTTGAGATTCTCACCAGCATTGTGGAGCCCTCCCTCTGACCAGAGACACCACCTGCGTCACTGAAGAGGTGCACGTGTTGCCGTCCCTCTCGCCATTTATGGCCTCCCTTGCGGCCTCCTTTGCCGCCTGAAGACTGCGACCTGCCTCAGGGAGAAGCCCCCTTTGTTGGATGCTTTCATACGCATTCCAGGAGGTGCCATGTAACAGCGTGTTGGGGAGTTGCTCCTCCGACACTGGTTCCAGCAAGTTTGCCTCGCCAACCTCGGTTCTTGAATGGCCTTGTGCGGCCCGGACATAGTGAGAGCCATCGGCTTTGAGACCCATTTGATATCGCTGTTTCCGATTACTTCGGACGACCTCCAATATGTCCCCTGAGGTGGCAGAGGTCTCAGCAATACGAGGCCAAGAGAGCACGTCTGACAGATGTGCCCGGCCCGCTTCATTGACGTGTATCCGGGGCTTGTGGCCGTGGCGAAGGCATGCTGCGAGAGCTTTGGAGATCGCAAATGCTAGCGGGCTCTCTGGGTTCTTCGAGGCCTCCCTGAAAGATCCAAGCGATCCCTCCTTTCCAAGCCATTCCTGAATCTCCGGGAGTTCCTCCTCGACGATTGCAGCTATCCCTCTGCTAGAGGCTGTTGCACTGGGTGGAATAGAAGGCTCGTTTGATACTGACCCAGAGGATCTTGAGGGAGCATCTCCACTCTTTGTGATTCTCAGGGGAGTTTCTCCACCTGACTATCCCATAGGTATCACATGCGCTGACAGTCGGCCCCCCAGTCCTATCGTCTCAAAGGCTGCGCGCGCTGCATGCAGGGGCAGCTCAAGGCTGCCCGACCACTCCATCAAGTACTCTGACGCCTGGAGGCTCTGCTGCGTGGCAATGCGAAGGTGTATCGCCACGATTTGTACGCTGTCAAACGCTTGTATGACTTGATTTGTCTGTTTGCCCGCCTTGAGGCTGCCACGGATGTCATACACCACTTCCACGCAAGGCTTCACAAATATGTGTTTCGCGCCGTAGCGCGTGAGGGAGCTGTAATTTTCCGCCAGATGACGGTTGATCGGCCTATGCAGGTAGACCCCGTTCCGGTCCGTAAAGGCCCGGTACCCGGGATCCCCGGGTCGCTGGGTAGCAGCCAACCAGTCGACAGGATTGCAACTTTCGAGGAAAGATCTTCCCCCGCCAGGCCTTTTCGTGTCCGAAGGAATGACGTCATGAGCGCATTGGCTATGTCTGTGTTGGGCTCCTGACACGGACTAAGGCCCTCTATGAGCTTCTTTGTGGCCGCTACTGTCAGACGTCCTGAATTTATGTCCGCGATTGTGCCACCGCAGGAGGGCACGTAGTCTGGAAACTCCGGGTAGCCCGCATCCTCCAGCACTTTGGACGCTTTCCTTTCTTGGTTTTCCAGGGCTTGCTGCCGAGCAAGCTGAGCCCCCGTGTTCTCAAGAGGAGTGTCTCCACCTTTTGCCTTGACTGCAGGGGGAGCATCTCCACCCTCAGCACCCTCTTGCCGCCTCTTTGGAGGAGGCGGTGAGGGAGTTACTCCACCCTTAGTGCCCTTCCCTCCCTTCTCTATGGGAGGCTCGCCTCTTTCTGCGTGCCCTTCCTCTGAGCGGCGCCATTGCCGCAAATAGTTTCTATAAGAAACCTTGGGCAAGCCTTCCGCAGCCCGACGCGCTGAGTAGGCCGCATACTCCGCGCGGTAGGAGTCATCCTGCTGTGACATCCCTCCTATACTGCTACTGTTCGTCATGAGGCATGCTGAGTGGACTTAGTGCTGCTTGTTTAAGACCTGGGTCTGGGAGCCAGCATGAACAAGTTCCAGAAGAAGTCATCACCCTGACCACGAGTGCAAGGCAGCGCAGATTCGAGGCACTGGCATAGGATCTGGCCCTCAGTAGCTAGATGGTCCCATGCATTAGACATCTCAGGGCTTGCAGATGCAGTCTGACAAAAGCTTTTTCCATCTGAAGGACTACTGAAGCCACAGTCCGTCAGGTCCACCAGCTCTTCGACTGGCAGGTTGTGTAGGTGACGGGCGTGGAAGGCAATCAAAACCAGCCGATCGCCATGCCATGGCATAGTGGCATGTTGTTGCGAGGGGCTAAAACGTATTGGAGAAGTGACATCCATTACGCTTCCCAACGGTCCATCTGCCTCCAGACGCACACTCCCTCTGTCGTTCTGAAGCCAAATGCCTCCTCCTTCGAAGATAGAGCAGGGAACGAGTAGGTTGCTGCTTCCGTGGGCAGTATGACTGTCGCGATGTGCAGAGGCTCCCGTGTTAAGCGACAATGTGCAAGAGCTAAATCTATGCTCCGGGCCAATAGCCTGAATGATCATGGCTAAGACCTGTGTGACTCGAGGATAGTCCCTCATGTTCCGGGTGATGCCAACGTTAGGTCCCCTCGCGCAGGCTCCTGTTGTGAAAGACACTGGGGCTAGCTCTCCGGCTCGTGTTTGCTGTGGAAACCTTTGTTGACGTGGCTGAGGCAGTAGCTGGGCCATACGGAGAAGATCAGCCCATTTCGCTTCACCCGCACACAGGCACCGATTTGCTATCAGCTCAGCTGGGTGCATGTCTTCTGTGCTGGGTCTGGGGATGGGCTCGATCAGATACTTCTGCAGTTGCAGACAGGCTCGAAAGACTGTGTCACTCTGCGCGTAGACCGAAACTGGCTCTTCCAGGATTCTGTTCAGGGAACCAGCATACGCATCCTGCGTGCATTGCGGCACGTGTATTGCGCCAGCCGATGCCTGGTGAGCCATTGTTGGCCGTTGCTCCTCAGGAACTTCCTCCTCCGAGCCGTCCGTGAGATCAATACACTGGTCCGGAGTGCAGGGCACCAACATCCGCTGGAAGCGAGCATGGGCGTGGCCCCCCTTGCCGAAACCATCCATCATGATCATGCGCGATCCGATGCCACTAATTAAGTCTTTAGGAGTTCTTGCTCGCCCATGTTGCGGTTAGAAAACACTTGATTTCAGACATGACCACTCCTCTGTTCCATGAATGCAAGCAAAGCTGGGATCCTGACAGGCGCCAGTAGTTCAAGAGCCTCATATTGAGCAGACGGTCAGAACTATTCTTGACAATGGCTCGGAGCTGCCTCATCGGGAGTCACTCCTCGATACTCAAATGTGGCCTGTCAGGGCTCCAATGAGGGTCTTGCTGCACTGAAAAATGAAATAAAAGGTGCAACTTGATGCGAGCTGCTGCCTTTTTCCAAAAACTCATGGCTGGCCTCCCTCGGCAGTTACTCCGCCGCTCTTTGGGAGTGCCTCCTCTCGACCTCTACGCCTACAAAAAGTTTCTCCGCCTTCTTCCCTCAGGGGAGTTACTCTACCTTTGGGGGAGAGCTACTCTACCCCCTGGCTCACCACTCCTCGTTGAGGAGCTCACTGCGCTTCAGGTCCCACTCTGCTATCGCCGCGTTTAACTCAGCGTCTTCCCTGAAAAGGCGCTGTCGCATGATCTCGGCATCCAGTTCGAACTGATGGCGAATGTTGTCCGGCAACAGAGACTGCGTATGCCCGAGAATTTGGGTTTCACGGGACGCGCCTTCCAAATCGTAGAGGAAGCCCGCCAACCTCGACCAGCCCAATTCTGTAGGCTCTCGCGACTTAGCCATCGCGTAGTACATCATCGCTACCTGGCCGAGGGAGTGTCTCCGCTGCAGCTTAATCTCCTGCCACTCATCGTACCCCCTTAGGGTCTCACAGTACGCATGCAGGCGCTTCAGCTTGTCTGCGGGGAGTAACTCCGCCGCAAGAAGGAACAACTGTGCCTTGATCTTCACCAGCTTCGCTTGGATCAAGGACTGCACCTGCGTGATGTACGAACCGGGGAGTGACTCGCTACCGGCCGGGACCTCAGTCTCATGATACAACGCTGCCAATACCGGAAGGAGCACCTCGACAAGCCGGGTGGGCTGAAGAGAGTATGCCATGATCGATAGAGGCGGAGAGGGTTGCGGAGAGCTCTTGAGATTGACGAGGCTGCAGAAGCTGCTGCTGCAGACAGTGGCACACTCCAACCTTGAGCATGTTGAACCTATGCGTGCAGGGCAATCTGGCCTTACGGGAGCAACTCCACGTTTGCAACTTACGGGAGCAGCTCCACGTTTGCGAACCTGAAGTGAAAACTTATATCAGACGTGGTCAGAAAAGGAAGGCTGAGCTTGCAACGCCGTTGCGGGAGCTACTCCACGCCAAACCTCGGATAACGCGAAAGAGTCAATGCTGCTAGCCAGGCGCTTATGCAGTCCAACGCACTTTATTCCCAGGCATTCGGACTCTCCCCCCTGCTCGCCTTCTGCTGAGGCGAGCAGGAGGAACTGCATATGCATGCTTGCCTTTAGCGTAGCATGTTGCGAATCTGCTTGATGAGCGGGGAAGGTTGCGTTCCCTGCTTCTGGAAATCACCGTTTAAATTTAGTAAGGAGAAGGCGGAATTGTTGGCCAGAGTCCCTAATGTGTCTAGCAACTCTGAGGTTCCAACTTTACACGAAAACTGAAAAAGCAGGCGTACCGGGCCACCTGTCATCTTGTCGCCAATAGGTCGGGACGTCTTAAACATTGTCACCTGAGTCGTGTCTGCTTCAAGCCGCGAGATAACATCGCCCAGCCCAGAGAGCAGCTGAGACATACTCAGCGGATCCTCCAGGGATTCTACCATTGACTGGCTTTCCGAGCTCCATTCGAAGTAAGGCCATTCCCCGTGCAGAGTCAACACACCATCTTGCTTAAGTTTCTGCTGCACCGTCTCTGACTGGCTTACCTTCATAACTCTTTGTTTGAGAGCCTGGAAGAATCGGAGAGTCAGCGCATGTCTCGGGGGCGAGGGAGGGGCCATCATGCCTCGTTGACGTTTGCTCTCTTCATGAAGCTCCTGCAAAACAGAATGGGCCTCTGCGCGGACATAGGAGATGTAGCAAAGATCAGATGTCAGCGCAAGCAGTTGCTCGTCATGTCGTATGACGAGCCTAGCCACTGCATTCACGAGATCATCTTCTGGCATGTCGGACGTCTTACCGTCTCTGCGCCGCTGTCCAGCTTGCTTGCCTTTGCCCTGTCCCTTGATTGAGGGAGTTACTCCACTCCGCGGTCGCTTCTGGGGAGAATCTCCACCAGTCTGATTCGGGGCCTCGCCGCGCTTTGAAGATATATCGGACATGGGCGCGCCCCGGAAGAAATCTTCCAGTGACATTTTTGGCAACGCCTGGCTACTGCCCACTCAATTGCCTGAGAGAGAAGCAGCTGAGATGCGCAGTGACCGGATAGAGGACTGCTGTTACCACCTAGTCGCAGTTACTGCACTTGATTGATGGCATGACTGAATGCTATCAGGCTTGCTGACGCTCAAGTAGCAAGAGATAGCAATTGCCTGAGATCAGCGGATCGGTGAGCTGGCACGCAGAGGGGGGACTGGAGTCGTCACCTAGGTACCACTGTGCATCAGCTCGGACGAAACTCCTGTAATGCCCTGAGGTGGGCTCTGCTCCCAGATGGACCACGCCAGCCCGAATTCTGAAGGGATGCCAGGTCAGAGTTGATCCTGCGCCTTCATAAACAGGAAGCTGCAGTGCCTCCGAGAGTTGGATGGGACTGCTGTTCTTACCATCTCCTGCGTACCTTGGCAAGGCTAGGAATACGAACTGCTCCGCTGCAACCAGGGCGCGCACTGGCGACTGCCTGCACCATTGGTTAATCATGATTTGAAGATCCTCGGTCAGCGGTACATTCAGGAATATTGGGGAGGTCCCTTCTTCGTCAACCACGTAGCCAGTCTCCATAGGAGACCGCGTCTCCCAGCATCCAACCTTTGTGCTGGAGAGATTCGGGAGTATTGTACTAAGAAACTCAGCTGCGTCCTGCTGATTCCCGTCGAATGTCCAGCCTCGTATGACTGGCTCCAGGGAATGGTGCTCGGGTGTAATTCGTGCTAATTGGCTGGTTCGATACGCTACCTGGAGGGCTTGCGTATCTGTCGAGGGTAATACCCAGTGCAAGATTTGCAGCACGGAGTTAGCATAACAGTGATTGCGTCGATTCGCTAGGAGCCAAAATCCTTCTAGAACGAAAACTGGAGCTTGAAGGCCTACTTGCTGAGGCCGAGGCACCTGGGCCTGCGTCGCCTTTGACTTTGGCTTGGCCTCGTAAGATCTAGGGGTCATGTCCAGGCCTTGTCTTTGAGCCTCTTGGAGTACATGCGTTTGGAGAAGAGGAACGCACTGCTCGGAGTGTCTGCCAGGAGCATCAATCTTGGTTCTGCAGTAGCGGCAGGTGCTCCCCTTCTTCATCATGACCTTATGAAGCTGAAGTCGTGGTGTGATGATTTGTTGGACTCTGCGCATAACCTCAGGATGCTGGCGATTTAAGTGCTGTTTGACTGGGCCTGCCCACAGAGCGAACAACTCTCCATGAGCCAGATATGCAGATCAGGGTTTAAGGCGGCAGAGGCTGGGTCACGAAAGGCCTCCTGCTTGACGTTCTCATGCACCTGATCTAGCTCAGTCAAAGGGGTCTCGGCCTCTTCCACATTCTGAAGTAGCACGCTCACTCGCGGACAAGTGGAAGCCTCGACATGATGACGCTTCAAGAAGAAATAGGAACGGAACATACGTCCGCATGCCAGGCATTCAGGCGTTCCGGCCTTAGTGTGCTTTTTGGGGTCGAATCGTGGGCCTTTCGGGAACCAGCGGGCTCCCGGGTGATGCTTTTGGGAGTGCCGCCTTAATGCACCTGTGCCCATGAAGAGAGATCCACATTCTGTGCACACTTGTTGTTGCTGTTGCTCTGCGTCGCTCGTTCTGATTGCTGCGACAAGGTGATGCATGCTGTCCGATAGCCTCTCAGCCCTGGGCAGATAGTGCTGCAGAAGCGCTGCTTTGTCTCCCTTGTGCTGCCGTTTAATGAACTGCTTCAGGCGCTGCAGCACCTGGGTTTTGGCCGTCTTAAAGCCTCTGCACTGAATGAACTGCTGATTGTTTTCGTGCGTATTCTGGGAGTAACTCCTCAGAACAAAACGCAACTGAAAAATCATGTGCGACTCTAGCTGGGCGAGACCTTGCGGTGTTAAGCCCACCACGTGCAGGCCGTACATTGCCGACGCCCAAGCGGTGATGCGCCAAATCGACAGTCTGCGCTTTTCGGTGATGGCTCGGCTGTTTCGGACTGCATGAGCTACCTCCTTCAATGCAGCTTTACTGGCTTGCAGACGATGTCGAAGAGACTTCATCTCATAGTCCTGGTATGAAATAATGATTCCCAGGTAAGGAACCTGTTGTTTCAGTGCAATCAGCCTGCCGGAAGGGAGCTGGGCGTACTTGACTCCCTGCTTGGTGATTATTAGGCTTTGCCGGATCTGCTGTGCTGAGCCCCCGTGCAGCTGAAGAAGCAGCGCCGATTTTTCCGGATTCACTTTGAAGCCGAGCTCCATGAGCTGGTCCAGGAGCAGGTCGCATAAGCAGAGCGATTCCTGGAGCTGTTGCTTATCATCGAAGTGCGTTTAAAGAAGAGTATCGTCCGCATACATCGTGAGTATCCGCTTCAATGATGCTATGTCGCACTGCTCCCCCAGTCTACGGAAAAGAAGAAACGTGGCAAACACGAATAATGACGGCGCCAACTTGCACCCTTGCTTGATGCCACGTCTAGTGGCTATACTGAAGGCTTGATCACTGGCTGTCATGTCGTAGAGAGCCTCTACGTGCAGTTTGCCCACGAGGTCTATTAGAAAGGGGTCCGCTTCTGCAAGCTCTAGAGACTCTCGCAAACGTCTACGATCAACCATGTCAAACGCCTTGCTCATGTCAACACTGAATGTCATACTTCCCTGTAATTTGAGGCCTCTGTGTCCGCGCCCAGCCTGGCGCTGGTTGTGCCTTGCTCTTCCTCTGGCTTCGTCTACGTGTGTCAGCGCCTTACAAATTGCTTCCTCCGCTCCCCGACCGGGAACAAAACCGAACTGAGTCACCTCGGACATTGCTGTTCGGAGGGCGGGCTTGAGTTGTTTCCGAAGGTGACCAGCTAGCACCTTGCCCTCAGGAGCTATCACACCGATCGGCCTCAGAGAGGCCGGCTTGTCCGGTTTTTTAGGAGGTTTGGGGAGCCATGAGATGCTGGAGCTGGTTATTTTGGGATCCATTCGTGTAGCCTGAGCCTCTGTATTAAGGAGATTGGCTACGTGCTGTTGGGCCACGGGTCCTAAGGATCTCCAGGCGACTATGGGCGGACAGTCTCTCGGGACTGCCTTGCCCAGCTTAATTGACCGAAGCTGATCCATGACATCTGAGGGGGTCATTCCTAGGGAACCAATGGCACCCTGCAGCTGAAAGTCCTCTCCCGTCCCAAACAGATCTTTTGAGTATTCCTCGAGGACCCTGCGTTCTTCCTTTGTGGTGAGAAATCGGCCCTGCTCGTCACGGAGCTGCACCCTTTCATGAGGTTTGCCTGTCTTGAAGGTACGGATGACTTTGTAAAGGGAGTGACTCCCGTCCTTCGTACTCTTAGCCTCGGCTTGAGCCAGCTGTTCGTCGATTAGTCTTTGGCACTGTTCAAACTTACGCTGCTTGGCTGTCCGAGCCGCCGCGCTTTGACGCGCAATTGCCGCCCAGGTGCGCCAAAGTAGGCGTTGTTTAAGTTGCCGATGCAGATCGGCCATTGCCAGAAGAACCTCGGGGAGGCTGCGTCATGTCTTGCGATACTCCCACAGGCCTGCACTGGATCGGCGACGCGCTGTTTGCTGCTTCGGAAACTCTGACTGCATCGCCTTCTCCATGGAGGTCCGAAGAAGCTCCCAGGAAGGCTCCTTTTCTGCCAAATCCGTATCAACCTTGCGTGCGTAATTGGTTATGCTATCGGAATCTATCCGATAGCAGTTTTCCATGGTTGCTTGATCATAGGCTTTCACTGGTTGCGCGGAGTAGCTCCTGCTATGTATTAGCTTTCCTAGCAAAAGAAAATGACGGCTGCCTTCACGCCAGCTGGCAGCCGGGAACTGTCGGCAGGGAGAGCAACTCTTCCCCGGTCCGCGTGCCTGGTTATGTCGAAGGAGGACAAAGTCAATTTGACTTATTTGAGTTCCCTTGGACATGAGTTGCAGGCTTGCGAACAGACCAAGTGTTCGCCGCCACGAGCTTGTGTTGTTCCAGAAGCTTATGGAGATCCTTCGTGCCACGCTGTCCTAATCTGCTTAGACCAATTGTGCAGGGGCCAACGAATTTCTTATCAGGCTTTAAGGAGGGGTTAAAGTCGCCCGCTACCAACAAGGAATTACGTTGTGGAAGAGATGCAACCGTCTGAGAGAGCTTCGTCAGAGCAGCCTTGCGTTGCTCCTGATTTTGGGTGAGGGTTTGTTTCGATCGCCAGACAAATTGGTAAAAAGAGATTACATCCAAAGAAAAATGCGCCCCCGGTATGCGTACGTGCAGCAGCCGGCCTGGCAAGATCTCGTTGAAGCGAACATCCTTCGCCTTACACAGAAAGTTATGCACCATAATCAGGACGCCTGCGCCCTGTTCGTTGTGCGTGCCAGAGCTGACCACGTGCCAGCAAGACTTGCTGAATTGCCAGCTCCCTCTCCAATGAGTTTCCTGAACAACAACGAGCTTCGCATCTGAATATGCCTCCGTCTCGAGCAGGGAGAGTAACTCTTCCCAAACAGCTGTAGTCAGCGCACCTGCGTTCCAAGACAGGTATCGAATTTCATCTTTTGTTGAAAATTTGGTTAACTTTGGCTTGTTAGGCCTTTCTGGTTGAGGAGCAGCCGGAGTGCCTCCAAGCTGCTGTAAGGTGAGACTCTTACCTCTGTAGAAGGCAGTACCATTCTTCGCTGCTTGTCGCAGTGCCTTCTGGTATGATCGTTTGCCCGCCCCTTTGGGGTGCAGTGATCTCTTGCCTGCTGAGTCGTGATGCTGTTTCGCCATGCTCGTATTGAACATGACTCCTGTCG